AAGTCCTTTTATTTGTGGCATTTTCTTTCACTTACAGTAATAAGCTCTCAGTCTTCTTCCCTGCAGACTCCTACCAAGGAGATTAATTTAAATGCCAATCTTGCATGAGAGGTGAAAAACACTGAAATCAGTTACCAATTATATCAAAACACCATTAAACATTATTTTTTTTCAATTTGAGAGACACCATGCAAAACAAAATGCCAGGTGTTTGTTCTGCAGTCTCAGGGTGCTAGTACATGCAATGTTATTTTTCCCCTGTATAAACTGGGAAATAAGCTGCCCCTGTGGATAGGAGACTGCTTACTCTTCTGATGGAATCTGTAATGCACTTTGCATTATAGGGAAAAGGTTAATTCTGCTCAACAACATGCTGTGCCCTCCAATATCTGATTTTATGTACCATTCCATGGATAGCTGGTTTTAACAGCTCATTTATTTTTCTTCAAGTGCAGCTTTTGAAACTGAGTATTTTGATGCTTTCCCTGGAAGCAGATAGCATCAGACCCCTTGTGTGAGGGCAAATACAGAACTACAATGAGAACATCCAGTTAATACAAAAAAAGTCCACAAAAATGAGATACTGTCTGAAGCATGAAGATTATTAGATACAAAAAAGTGGACTTTATAAAGAAAAATATTCATTCAGCATAGTACAAAACTATTCACTTCAGAATTTTTATATTATCCCCTGGAGTATTTAATATTGGACAGGAATCTCACTGATTCATGATGCCAGAGAGAAAAAGCTCTGGGGCCATTCATCACCTGCCAACAGCCAAAAAAAACCCAACTTGGATAAATAGCAAGGAATTTAAGAATTAAGAACCTATTTCAGTCTTGGATTTAGTAAACTCTCAGAAATAATCAGGGATTTCCAGCAAGATAACACTGACACTTAAGAGAACTCATTCAATGCTTCAAACTCATAGAGGATCTCTAGGACCAGTAGCATGAACCAGTTCATCTATACTGATGCCAACACAGAATAATCCTACAAGAGGAAAAGGAAGCAGAATTTTATTTTACTCCCAGATAATTTTTGTTATTAATTTTAATAACAATATAAAATTAATAGGAAGCATAAATAAAATATGAATCTGTAAAATAGAAAATATCACTTATTTAGCAGAAAGAATGCAAATCCAGTGAAAGAGGAAGGAAATTATTTTAAGTAAGTTCCCTTGATAAAGATTCAAACATTCACATGGGATTAAATTATAGCATCTCTATTGTTCCCTAATAAACAGCAGGAAATAGAGGTCATTATTCTACATCCCTGATGGCTTGCTGCTGAAGTCATTGGAAATGCAGTGGGGATGAATCTGACTTTTTTATCCTATTTTACAGTACATGTGAAGCCCAAGAGTAGTGCTGTTTGGTTGAAGTTTTTTTAATGCACCATTTACGAACAGCATCACTAAACTGACACCACCACAAAATGACAGACCTCATCAAAACCTAAGGGTGTGCATCATAAAAGAAGGCATCTTATGAGTTACTTTTTCCTTTATTTCCTTTTTAAGGGGAAATTTGTGGTGCATGGCCTTTGTTTTTTCTGACCACTCATCAATTTTCTAGTATCAGAAAATAAAAGACAAGGATAAAAGAAACTGACTTGCAATAATCACCATATTATTACTGCTGCCAGTAGTAATGGCCACAAAGCCTTACAAAACAAAATATTTCAGTTTCATTTAATTTTATACTTCGGTGTTTTTCCCAATAATACTGTTCATAATGTCCTGCTTCATTAGCTTCTTCTGAATAGAAGAAAAATAGTTCCTTCTGGTTCTTTATGCAGGAAGGAGAGAAGACTTGCTAAACACCTCAAACTATTTCCTTGACCACTGGAAACACTTCATTTATACATTCAGTGGACAAGCACTCCAACATTGTGTTCACCAAGACAAAAATATAATTTGACTTATGAAGAATTTAATAGGCATCAGATTAGAAATAAATTGGTCACACGAATATATACTTTTTAATACTTTTCATATTAAAATCTGATTAATACACTTAGATGCATGCTCACAATTTAATAAAATAAAGTTCAAGGCAGGGAAACAAGGCCATTAGCTGGTATGCAAAATTAATATCTGTCATTCCTTATTCTCATACACCCTGCATTCACTGATACAATAGTGCATTTTACTATCACATGCTACAAGAATTAAAATAAAGTTGAAAGTAGTAGGATGAAGTGTATCCAAAAATAGCCACAACATTGCATAGATGTTTTTTTCCAAGCCTTTTACAAAATGTCAGAAAGAACAAGCTTTTTAAAAATAACTTTTGCATGTTTTCTGTCTTTATGCAGAAGGAAATTAAGTTCTTAAAGACCTGCATGCCGTGTCTCAAGCTTCCCATCACCTGAGAACTTTGTTTAATATCATCACTAAGCTGCAAATTGGCTGGCTTTAAGTGCTTCCAGCAGAGAAATCTTAGTGTATCCATAATGTTCCAAACTTTCTCAGAAGCAAGCAAAAGTGCTCTGAAGATTCCACAGTTAAATTACCAGTTTGTCAAGCAAAAACCTTAATTAGGAATCTATTTGGCACACTGATCCTCACAGGAACCTCTGGATTCTATGATGACATGTAGAAAACTGCAGTAAGAAACGGTGGAATAAAAAATCCACATTTTTGACAGAGGTGATACTTTTACTCCAGTAGTAATTAAACAAAGTCCACCAACAGGCAGCTCAAACATTTTAAACCTAGAGAAATCCTAAGTTTGATAAATTTTCTTATGCAAATGTAACTACCATGAAAACTGTGCATTCAATGCGCGTTCAATGAACTCAATGTTCTCATCCTGGACAGAGAATGGGAACTGAATGAGGTTATTCCAAACTGAGCGAAAAGCTGGTTACAAAAGATTTCCTGTCAAGAGCAGCTTCTCCATACATGAAGACCCCATGGGAAGCCACACTGAAGCAGCCTGTCCCTGGAGGACTCACTGCTGTGGAAAGAACCCACCCTGGAGCAGGTCATGAAGAACTGCAGCCCATGGAAAAGACTCATGCTGGAGAAGTTTGTGGAGACTGTCCCCCAAGGGAAGGACCAATACTGGGACAAAAGAAGAGTGTGAGGAGTCCTCCCCATGGGGAGGAAGGAGGTGCAGCCCTCATCCCCTGCCCTTCTCTGCCACTGGCAGAGAGGAGGTAGAGAACCGGGATTAAAGTAAAGCCTCAAAAGAAGGGAGGGGCAGAAGAAGTTTCTTTAAGATTTGGGGTTTGCTTCTTATTACCCTACTCTGATTTGCCATTAAATTAAACAGATTTCCCCAAGTCAAGTCTGTTTTGCTCATGACAGTGATTGCCAAGTGATCTCTCCCCGCCTTTATCTCAGCCCATGAGCCTTCCCTTGTATTTTCTCTCCCTGCCCAGATGAGGAGGGCAGTGACACAGCAGCTTTGGTGGGCACTGCTAATCCAACCAGGGTCAACCTACCACACTCAGCTATACAATCCATGCATTCCCACAGAATTCATATTACACATAGAACAAAACATATTATTCCATCTGACTGGTCTTTTTTCACTTAATAATATTTTTTTTTTCCTTCTTTTATGCTAAAGGAGTTCCTACATCTTTTACAAAAACACTATATGTGTGTTGTCAAAATTATAGATCACATTATAAAGCAAAGAGAGGCCATAAATTTCTAAAACTGAAAATGGTAGTGACTCCTCTGAGACGAAAAAAAAGAGGGGAAAGAAAAGAGGGAAAATAATAGGAATTTTTTTTACATATTATGAAAGACTAACGAATTTGAAAAATAAAACCCTCATCTATTCATGTTTTTTTTTTTCCCTAATAGTTAGCTCATAACAATCTTTAACTTAAACTGGATAGCTACTAATTTTGAAACATTGTTTAACTAAGGAACTAGTAAGTGTTCTGCCAAACAACTTTTAAGGCGGCAAGTATAGAACAGTCACCTCACTCTTCCAGCTACCCAGGAAAAAATGTTTTGCATGAAGTAAAAAATAATTATAATTTTATACATTTAAGTGATATTAACTATGCAACTGCACTAAATAAATGTTATGACTATGCCATTTTAAAATATTTATATAAACAGAAATAGTGAGAGAGCAATTCTATGGCTATTTACTTCTAGGTTACGACAAATTTATATAAACTTTTTTCTGAATTTGTAAATTTCTTCCAATCTGAGTCATAAAAGCCCTACCTCAATGTTCTAAGTACCCATAAGAGAATGGAAAACCAGCACAGACATAATCTTTGGATGGATTAGAGCAAGTTAAACTTTCACAATATTTAAAAATCCCCCTACTGATGTTAATTCTTAGCTCACTTCTTTATTCATGACTGACTCCCACAGAAGGACAAAAATAGCTTCACTGCTCACCTGGATTTTTTTTTTTAATAGTTCCATAAAAATATACTGAAAACTTCTTTAACAAAGCTATATTTGAATAGAAATATAAAAATCAAAGCAAACAGCAGATTCAAATGGCATAAGGACACCATATCAATGGATTACTCTAGCCAGATTGATCCATAATGTATTCTATAGGAGTTTCTCTCGGGCGATGAATTTGCTTTCTTTTCTTATTACTTCTCAAATTCTTGGATTACTAGCATACATTCACTGGACTACTCTCAAGAGTATTTCATTAAATACAAATACAGAGCTACACCTCCAGTATAAGCTTCTTGCAGGAAGGGAAAGATACACCAGGATTCAAAGCTTGTTTTGGGTCAGGGAGCTGGAAGGTAGAAAACTGAGAGAAAACAATTTTTAAATCAATACAAACATCTTTGGTTGAACAGTTTAATAAAAATTGCTGTAGTTTGTTCTAGTACATTTCTGCCTTTGTGTAAGAATTCCAAAGAATTCTTATGTTGTACTTAACCTCCACTACACAAATAAAATTTTTAAAAAATCACTTCAGGGAGAATAGAAAAAAATGTACTATTTTACTCAAGAAGAGATCCAATCCAAGATTACTGCCAGCAAACTTACCAGTCGTCTTCTCTCTTCTTCAACAGCAATCAGGAGCCGAGCAAACTCCTTCAATGACTGGGCTGAAAGGAAACAAAGAAAAAGAAAGTTCTGCTTAAAATGACTAGGTGAGTCCATTACCTGGATTGAAGCTACAATGATAAAATATTTCTCTTATACTGCAATGTAATCAGTAGCCTTAAATGAGATAGACTGAAGCAGGGAGCAGGTCAAGAGCAAAGAAAGAGAATCTGAGTCTTAAGAGTCATATGTATTTTAAAAATAATTTTTAAATGGAACATGGCAAACTGAATTTCCTGAAACATGGAAAGGTCAGTCTCAAAACAGAAGAATTCTGCTTTCAGCCACAAAATTCAGGAGCAGAAAGAAAATAATTGAGTTTCTCCCACTAAGGCAGGAGAACAAGTATATGAAAGAACTATGAAAAACATTTGGGTAAATATTTGAAACTCAACATTTTAGAAGAAATGCCAAGTGCTTAGATTTAACTGCTCTTTGGCTTTATGTTTTACAAGGACAAGGTCTCAGGTGACCCAAACAGATGATTGATTTTTAAGCTTTGAATTCTGTTACAACTGTGACAGAGTCTTTGCTCAAAATTGTTTTCAAATAGAAGTCAAAGGGCTGAAGCACAGTCAATGGAAACATAATACAAGAATTAACCCCTAAAAGAGGGCAAGAAAGAGGAAAACATTCTGAAAACTCTTAAGACTTCATTCTCATGTAAGCAAGTGGTACAAATCTGTCTTGAAAAATATTTCTTTCCATTTGTATTACTTTCTCAAGGGCATAGGGGTTACTCAGATTCAGCATCACAGTCCCATAGGTGACAATCCCCAAAAACAATCACGTGACAAGAGCTAAGTATCTGTTTTTACTTTCTCCTGATGCAACTAGTAGTAATTGCTACCAATGACAGGATGAACTACATTTTGTGGTTTAAAGCTCTGAACTCAGAATAGAGATTGCTAAATAATACAGTTTCTCACAATAAACTTGAGGCAACCTCAATCATTTTGAAAGAGATAAAAAACAAACATGGAAACAAAGCTCAGATTTTCTCAAAAGAACAGGGCTGAAAAATCTTCACAGTTAACCAACATATAGTGCTGACCGTCGGCTAATGGAACTCCACCTCCTAGTTATTTTTTCATCATCTTAAATGTTTTTTGTGTTAGTCTCCAATAATATAGCTTTATCCCTTCTCACCACCTCTAAAAGATTTAAGGAAATAAGCACATTTCCTAGAAAGTACTGGAACAGATCCTTTAAGTGGGAACTAGTATCTGGCTTGCCTTAACTGTCTTGTCTGCATTCATGAACTGCTACTTAGTTTTTGGACCATTCCCCAATAATTTCTATCCTTTATACCATCTGGACCTTGCAGAGGGTCTCCTTCCTCTCTGTTAACTTTTACAGTTGAAGAACACTTTGCTGTTTGTTCCAATTTCTTCTGCAAGAAATTACGCAGCTACATTCTTTGCAGCTATGATGCTATACTTGCATATCTTGACCTCTAAGCTGTTGTTGGCAGACAAATTCTTTTTTTCCAATTATGAGTTCTTGGTTTAGTCAAAATACACCTGGCAAGTTAAATGTCCATCTACTTGGGGCTTGAATCTTTTCCTTTAATATTTTTCCCTGAGAAAACAAGTGTCAGAAGATTTTGCCAGTTATGTTGATATCAAGATTTTCAGTTTGATATCAACTGAATTAACCCAATCTCTTAGTCAGCTCATAATATCCCATGGGAAAAAAAAAAAACTAAACCAAAAAACAACAGTTAACAAAAGAGGATGATAAACTGGTTAGCTATACCTGACTAGGAATCTGTAGGGCGCAACACTCAAGAATATCTTAAGTACGCAAAATGAAATGCTAAAATCTAAATAAACAATTAGCCAGACAGACATGGCTAAACTATAAGGATGTGGAGAGGTGGGGGGGAGGAAGAAGGGAAGTGTAAAAGAAACATGAAACAAAAACTAGTACGAGAAACTTTTGATTCATCTTTCAAATTTCAAGGCAGAACCAGACAGTTTTTTAGTTTCAAAGTTGAAACATTTGCTTAGGATTTAAATAAATTCAGGTCAGCCACAGGAAAAAAAGCATATGTACTCTAAGTACATATGAAAACCAATATTTTCCTCAATATTTAATATTAATACAAAGATTCTAGTCTGTCATCTGCACAGTGCCTCAGCTAAAGACTGAGAAATTGTCTCGATCTTTTCCTCCCCATTGGCTCACCTTTGGGGGAATTACAAAGGTCAGTTTCACTACGAACACAGAACCTACACTCTTCAGCAGCTCTAAGACAAACCATCCCCCTGATCTTATGAGACTTTGATTGTAGAGTCACGTTTGCATCAAAACTGACTATACCTCTGATGCTCGCTGCCCAACATCCACATGCATCCCTACATCCATGGGATGTCCTTCTCCAGCTCAGGAGGTGCACAGGGAGAACTTGTGCATTGTGTTATTCAGAGCATAGTGAAGGATGCACACCCATGTCTGCAACATGGACATCTCTGGTGACCCCAGCAGTTATTCTTTTCTTGTAATGCCAGCACATACATCGAGAAAGGCTTTAGCCATGCCAGCTCTCCTACAATGGCCCTGGATACTGCAGTACTGATCTTTCATGTTACTGTCCCATCTTCCCATACAACCCCCACTCAGTGTGGCCTCATTAAAAGCCAGGGTCTGTCCCTAGAGAACTTTGGCTGTGCAGGAAGCTGCAGTGGGAGGGGGAAGGGAAGGAAAGAGAGTCCTCGCTCCTCTTTTCCCAGTGTATCCTTTTCCCTCTTTCTTCCCCCCTTCTCCCACGGAGCCCTGTGGTTGCAGAGAAGCAGCAGTTGTGCCTCACCTCAGTTTGGGACTGGGCAGACAGAGGGATGCTGAGGGCAGAGCTCACCAAGGGGGCTGAGGCCTCCCAGGCAATTCACCCACAGGGCACTGGGCACCTTGGAGATCTGGGCAGGGGGGGGCAGCCTTCCCTTCCACAACTACTATCCTCATCAGGATCTCAGCACAAAGCCTGGGCACAGGCACACACATCTAACTCTGGATTCACAGCTCTCAACAGGAAACAAACAGATATTTCAACAATAATTTCAACTGCTGTTGTGCAGTTGAAAACCAGAAGATATAGAAATCAGATACGTCTATGTCAGATGCAGCCCACTGTCAGGACATTCAGGACACATCAGCCTCACAATCTTTTCTTAGTAATGCTACATTTTTTAAAATCTACTTATTTAAAATCAGAATAGACAGAGAGGAATTAAAGTGAACTTTGTAAATACAAGAGGGGGTGGGAGGAAGACGAGTCAAGTATTTTGCAAGAGGAAATGTCATGGGAATGTGCTGATAAGAAATAAATTCTGAAAACACACCAATAATATGAAGTACAATATGTAGCCTAACATTAAATATAAAGACATTTTTAACTATTTTAATAAAGAATTATTGTTATTGGTGGGGGCCATTTAAAGGAAAATGAAGTGCTGACTCAATATTTTATTCTAAGTTATTAGGCGGTATTAACTTGAAAATCCCAACAGTTTTACAGTCTGCTTTTTATTTAAGGGCTACTCAAAAGGACTTGTAAGATACATTTGGTATCATGATGGAAATGATGCCTGTGAAAAGCAATGCCCAATAAGCAAAAACAATTGAATGTGTACCCAGATATACACTTGTGGTCTCATTCATCACAATCACAACAGGTTGCCAGCTGCTCTCTCTGGAGTGTTCCCAACTCAACAACAATGAGCTGCAAAATTTCCCTTGTACAACAGAAAGGGCTCCATTATTTTATTTACAAAAAAAAAAAAAGCTACTCTCTTTACTTTTAATTGAAAAGTCTTTTAATTAATTTGCTTCATAAAGAAACAAACTACCAACAGTTTAAGCATTAATGGTGTAGATCAACAATGTGTTTTTTTCACTCATATCCTTATCATTTCAAACACATGGTACAGCTCCACAAAGAACTACATTCACATAATTAAAAAGGAACTGAAGTTTGATGTATAATCTGGCTTACTACATTGAAATCAACACAGCTGTTCATAAGAAAAAAAAAGTGCACATAATAAATCTTATTAAATTTTTGCTATATACTTGTGTAGAGAATGTATTACCTTAAAATAGCATGTCTGTAGAAATTACTGAAGCTACTCTATCAACCTTAGCTTAATAATTAAGAGTGCAGTGTTACACTGTACCACTAAATGTCACACGCAATAGATACATCATCTACATTTAATGACAAAAGGCTGACAAAGTGTATGCCACATATAATAGCTTTGCATGACCAATACTGAACTGAAAAAGATAAAACCAAGTTTGGAAGGTAATGTTCAACCCAAAACAGAAATTAAAAGTTACTGTGGAAGACAATATAACAGAATGTTCATTTTTGTGGACTGTTGCTTTAATTTCCATTTATACATTCAGTCTTAAATTATGCGTAGACAATTTTTAATTACTCTAAAGTAAACAAAACAAGATTTTTTTGCCTTGTGAACAGATACCACAACCATCTTCAGATATGTGAATGTCAGCATGGAAAAAAATAATATGTACAGATATATGTCGCATGTTCTTATGACACCTTGCAAATGAAAGGTATGAAAGGCAAAAATGAGCAAGATTGTGAGAGATTTTCTTATGTTTTCCTGATCTGACTGAGGAACTGCCAGGACTGTGCTGTACATTGCTCCCAGTACTCTTTGGCAGGAAGGTCAGTCAAGTACATCCTCCAGAACTGGTCATAACTAGCACAAACTTGCTATGGCTGGCCTGAATTTATGCTTGAGCACGAACTGAAGCTAGAGGGAAGTTTTTCCTGTAAATAATACATCACTGAAACAGAATTCAAGATAATTGGCCCATAAGGAAATTTTCTATGGACTAGCACTTGTTTAATAGACTTCCATGAGAAAGCAGAATAAATGTAAGATCCATGAAGGCTGGGAGAAGAGGCTTTTTTTTCCATATCTAAAATTACAGTAAACATATTACTAAACAGTTGCTAATTAACATTTGTATT